ACACCAAACTGGCTCTGGTTACAATCCCAGGAGAAGAGTTTGAGCTTTCCACACCGAGGGGACATTTTGAGTTAAACGTGCTTTCCAACAATTTCGACCATGCATCTGCACTGCAAAGTGGAACAGTCTCACAAGAACAGTACTACCCCCCCCCCCACCCCCACTCTGAACTGGAACTTGCTTTTCCTCAGACTTCCTGTCCTCCTAACAAGTACAGATGCCCGAAGCTGCAGAAATTCCCAGGAAGCTGAATTCTGTATCAGATAATGGATTTGGCGGGTTTTTCCCTGCTCTCTGCGACCGAGCTACAGCATCAACACAGCCCCCTGCTTATTAGCGGGCTCTTCCTGTGCAATTAGCTACGAGGGGGAGAATGGAAATGCAGAGAGCGCGCCTGCACTCTGTGGACCAAAAGCCCGACTCAGTACAAGACAGCTTCGTAATGAGCACAATCCAGCCAGTGCTGAGCATTTTTTATTTTAATGGGAGAGCCGAGCGGATGAGCTGGTCTTCCTGCATGATCCATTTCTACGTACAGACCTTTTTTTTTTTTTCCAATGACACAGTTAGCTCTGGATGAACCAGCCAAATTAAGAACTTTTAAAGGTCCATGTTCTACTTTCTCACTAGAAGTAAAAATGTTTAAAGTTGGCTGAATTGTGCCCTTTATTATGCTACAATATAGCGAGTCAGACATTGGGTCTATTTGGCACTGTTTTAAAAACTTAAGTTTTTAATATTGGCCCTTCATTAGACTTTCTTCTCACCCTTTTGGTTCTTGATTCCAGTTTTTGGGTCAGGTTTGTTTTCCCCACCCTGTGTCTTACTGTTTGGCACTGTACCACCTAATCTGACCGGCACCTCTCAGGGGTCTTAGGTAGAAGTCTTTACCTGTTTGATTTTTTTAAAAAAACCAGGGATCCTTTCACTGGAAATTCCAGCAGTTGAATCTGCCACGTAAACTCAGTGAGCTATGGTCCCTCGCTTCCCCTTCATCAGAGGTTGGACCCAACCAGCTTTTCTGCTGGTAAGAAAGAGAGGAGGTGGTCCTCTGTGACCACTGAAAAGGCTATGTTGGGAAGATCATGGGACCTAGGAGACAAAAGCCACGTGGGATGGCAAATGAAGCCAGGAGAGTAAGTGAAAGATCTGGCTGGATTTAACCTTTTACCTATCTATAATCTCTCCCACCACATTAAAAGAAGAAGAGAGAGAAGAGATTGGATTTATACCCCGCCCTTCACTTGAAGTCTCAGAGCATCTTACAAACTCCTTTCCCTTCCCCTCCCCACAACATACACCCTGTGAGGTAGGTGGGGCTGAGAGAGCTCTTTCCAGTACTGTCCTTGAGAGAACAGCTCTGACAGCTCTTGCCCATGGTCATCCAGCAGCTGTAATTGGAGGAGTGGGGAATCAAACCCGGTTCTCCTAGATTACAGTCCGCACACTTAACCACTATACCAAACTGGCTCTACTACACTTAACCACTACACACTTAAACACTACACCAAATGGTGCCAATATTTACAATTATTGGGTTCCAAATGGAGTATGCAAAATGAGTAGCTTGAACATGCAGGAAAAACAACTTTTTCATTTTTTACATAAGGAACTTCTAATGTTTTTGATAGAAAATGTGGCTCTCTTTTTGTGTGTGTGTGTTTGTGTGTGTGTGTGTGTGTGTGAATACTCACCTTGATTACAGCTGATCTAAATGTATTCAGGAGGAGCAAGGGACTTTCGGAGCAGACTCAGAGACAGGAGTAAGGTACGGAGAGAGGAGTTTGCTTACTTGTTAATTTGACAGAATGATTGTCCCCCGAGTCTTGTTAGATAATTGAGGTTAGTCTGCCTGCAATATTTTACGACTGGAATGCTTAATGGGCTTCTTCAAACTATGCTTATTTTTGACTAGGGGAGAAAAGAAAATCAGTTGACCAAGTTCATGGAACCAAATCAACCTTGCAGTCAGATTTTATCTGACATTGTGATAACATTAAAAAAGAGAGAAAAAAAGAACCGAAGGGGGGGAAATCCCCCCTGCAGTCTAATTACTGTGAAGAACTAGTGCAGAGTCTTTGCTATGCATCACGACTGCCAGAATGAGAAGTCAATAGGAAGAACCAAAAGGGTATGAACTTTGTACCTAACCTGCAATAGAGGCCATGCCTCAATACTGAGGGTTTTTTTTTTAAAAAAACAACCCTGCATTTAAATTATTTTATAGTCAATATACCCTCCAAGCATGTGCCTGTGCACAGAGAGGGAGGGAGAAAGAGAGAATTGGGGGATACTGGGCTGGCCCCACCAGGAATCCCATTCAAACCCCCAATCAACTCCACCCCCAACCAACACTCCCTCTAACCTGTGGAGTCCTGTGAGCAAAAATTCTACTTTGTGAGCTACTGGGAAGAAGAAGAAGAAGAAGAAGAAGAAGAAGAAGAAGAAGAAGAAGAAGAAGAAGAAGAAGAAGAAGAAGAAGAAGAAGAAGAAGAAGAA